TGAGACAATATGTTTCTGAACTAGATGCGATATTCTATAAATCGGCTATTGTGCATAAATATGTTCCTGAATTAGTAGTGCCTATACAATGGATATGAGACTCGATATGTTTCTGTAGCATCTATACGATGGATATGAGTTATCGGCTTGAGCTTTCTGAACTAGGAGCACCTATACGATGGATATGAGTTATCCGCTTGGTAGTAGTCTTATAATTTTGCCATTTTCTTTTGATCTCGTTGTTTGAGTTATCTGCTTTATACTTTTGATCTCGTTGTTTGAGTTATCCGCTTGAGCCAATGAGGGTATTAGTCTTATAATTTTGTTGTTTACTTTTGATCTCTTGTTTGGTTTGAGGGTTCTCTATATTTTTTTGATCTCCCTAAGTTTGTTCTAGTTCGAGTTATAATCGTGACCAAACATACAACTCCCAAAAGTTACAATGAAAAGCCAACTAAAGTTACAATGAAAAGCCAACTAGTTGGAGTAAGTATTGGCCTATGATGTGTCTCTCTATACATTAGGTAAATGCAACGTCTTTTGCAACATTTTTTTGTTTGTATAAAATAGTGTCATTGGCCAACAACTAAAGGGCAATAACATTCTTTTATTTGTATAAAATAGTTCCACAGCCAACAGATAACGGTAACAGGGTCTTAAATAGTTTCACCATTAATGGTCAGTTTGTATCAACATATTAGAATCTGGCAATTTTATTGACAAGGTGGTTATCATGCTATTGACAAAGTCATATTGACAAGGTCATATAACTAGTGTGAATCATATCTTTTAAATATATTTGGTTAAGCTTTGTTTTGATTATATGCTGCTATAGCGAACGTTTTTCATATAATTTAATATGCTTTACGAATATTTATTGAGAGGATGGAGGAGACCGGATGTAGTAAATGTTATACAAAATTACTTTATAATGTAAAATATATTTTTTTCAAAGTGCAAACAAATTTACTAGTTTTAGAAAAGGTGAAACCTTTTATTATTTCACCCATAATTTCTTTCACAAAGTATATCCTATATTTTTTTATTTTTTTAAATCTAGGTTTTTGGAGAGGATTCCATCAAAGTGTGCAATGGACAAAGTTCTCTCGCTTAAATATGTTCTTTCGCTTAATATCAGTGTTTTCCAGTTCCATCTTGAATTGAATATTGAATTATTTTGTAGTTCGAAAATTTTAATTGTTTCATTTTCTTTTGCAGGCATGTCTTTGGATATTTTATAAATGTACTGCAGGAATGTCTTTGGGGATATTTTATATAATAGATATGAGTTATTCACCCCTGAGTAATGAGATTACTAGTATTAGAAGTTTGCTATTTACGATTGATCTCCCTTGATTTGTTTGAGTATTCTCCGTATTGTTTTTTATCTCCCTTGCTTTTATAAGATTGTTATGTTTTCATATTTGAAGTGAAGTTTTGTAGGGCCAAATATGATGGATCTTTAAGATTTCCATAAGTAAATAGAGCTATTCAACATAGAAAAGGGTTTTAAACTCAATCAGAAATATCCACAAGCATATTGTATGTAACTCTTATCAAAATACTGTAAATTTTTTGGAACTCAAGAGGATGTACAAATATCACTAACTTTATAATCCACTAAAGAATCTCAACCAAAAATCAATTGTAACTATTGATAAACTATTTTAAGCAATTCCAATAAAATTTCCAACAGGTATGCACTCATCAAAAACCCATCATAAATCATTCCAACAATATAAGATAATGCCCAATATCTTTTCTCTTGCTCATACAATATTTCTCAATCTTCTTGTAGTATTTCTAGCTTCAAAAGATGGAGAAGAAAGTTGGAACAAACTCATCAAATTCATAGGAATTTGCAGGAACAGTTTGATAGCTTTTTTAGAGAGAGAATTTGACGGCACAGTTTGATAGCTTTTCTAGATAGAGAATGTGGCTGAAAAATGAGTTTTCCAACAATATATATAGCACAAAATAGAACACAAGTTTCTTGCAAACAATTGTTAGTAAATAATCTAGAGATATAAAACTTCTTCGAGATGCAACACGATGCTGGAATTGATCATGTGACACTAGAGGGCTCTCACAGACATAAGAGGCACATGCCTTGCACTCAGCTCACAAAAAAGCATAAGAGACAAAAGAGGTTTTAGGGAGAGAACGAGAGCTCATACTTCGTACTCAGCCACCCAAAACAAGGTTTTAGGGAGAGAAAGAGAGCTCGTACTTCGTACTCAGCCACCCAAAACCCATTTTCATAAATATAGCTATAAAATACCCAGCTCACAAGGAAGCATAAGAGAGAGAAAGAGGTTTTAGGGAGAGAAAGAGAGCTCGTACTTCGTACTCAGCCTCCCAAAACCCATTTCCATAAATATAGCTACAAAAACCAGAAAAAGATAGCCACAAAAATAAGAAAAATAGAGAGATACATGTAGAGAGAAATGACAAGTACTGCCTTTCAATAGCCACTTGTCCCTCTGTTCACATGGGTCTTTCTTATTCTCTACACAAAACAGTAGGTTATTTTATAATATATTTTAAGTAGGGTAGAAAAGAAAATAAATAAATTAAAAATTTTGGGCCTTTATTTTATAAATATTTGAAAATACAATTTTCTCTAACAAGTTTGCTCTAGTTAGAGTTATAATGAGGATTGTTTAGTTCTCCATATTTAAGGTGAAGTGTGTTCTAGTTGGAGTTAAAATTATAACCAAACATACAACTCCATGAAGTTTATATCATCCGCAATATCAACAAAGTATTTGGAGTAATTCTTGATGTTGATACATCATTGAAAAGCCAACAAAGTAGTTAGAGTAAATATTGACATTTGATGTGTCGTAGTTGGCATACAGATGCATCTGTAGTTGTAGAGGTAAGATGCGCCTTCAAATTTTATAATGGTATATAATTTTGAGATAAAATGTTCATAGGATTATCTCAAAATCTATCTTTATATCTAATAATAAAATTTTAAATTTCAAAAATGGTTAAAATCAAGTAGATTTATAAACATATGAAAATCTTAAAAATGGACGGTATAGATAATATATTGTAAAATACATGATTTCTAAGATTTAAAATCTTTTTATTTTTCAGGGTCATACTTTTCGATGTGGACATGATCAATCAAAAAGTTTTTCAACATTAAAACTATCTTTTCCATTTGAATTTTTTAGGTGCATCCGTAGTTATGTAAACTTTTTCCCTCCATATATTAGGTAAAAGAAACCTATTGTAGCATTCTTTTGTTTTGTATGAAATAGTGTCACCATTGCCAACAGGGCAACCTCCTTGTAACATTCTTTTGTTTGTATAAAATAGTTCACCATTAATGGGCCAACAGATAACTGTAATGCAATCATAAAATAGTGTCATCATTGCCAACAGGTAAAGGGCAACCTCTTTGTAACATTCTTTATTCTTTTGTTTGTATAAAATAGTTTCACCATTAATGGCCCATAATGCAATCACCAACAATGTCTTAAATAGTTTCACCATTAATGGTCAGATTGTATAAAATAGATTTACCATTAAAGGTCAACAGATAAGAATCTGGCAATTTTATTGTGCATGGGTTATCATGCTATTGACAAAGTCATATAACTAGTGTGAGTGATATCTTTTAAATATATTTGGTTAAGCTTTGTTTTGATTATATGCTGATATAGCCTAGTTTTTCATAAAATTTAATATGTTTTAGGAATATTTATTGAGACAATGGAGGATATCGGATATAGTAAAGGTAATGGCTCCACTTATTTATGTTATGTAAAATTATTTTATAATGCATAATGTATTTTTTTTTCAAAGTTCAAACACATTTACTAGTTTTAGAAAAGGTGAAACCTTTAATTATTTCTCCCATAATTTCTTTCACAAAGTAGATGCTATATTTTTTTTTATTTTTTTATTTTTAAAAGCCCAGGCTTCCAAGACCCAACTCAATCCTAACCTACTTCAACCGCAGCACTGTGGATTGCATAAAGTGGCAATCTTAAACAATCAAAATAAGATTCACCTTCAAAATTTATCATAATATGTAATTTTGGTGCCAAAAATCTTAGGATGGTCAGCGAATATATTTTCATCTCTAATTATGAAATTCTAAACTCCAAAAATGATTCAAATCAAGTAGATCTATAATACACATGAATATATTGAAAATGGACGGTCCAGATATTATGTTACAAGATGCATTACTTCTTAAACTCAAAATCTTCTTTTGTTTTTCATATTTCTACATTAGAGGGTTTCCAAAATCCAAACCTTTGTCAATGAAGAACTTACAATATTATGGTTGACCTTAGAAGTATAAAGATTAAGAGAGTTCAGGTCACCTAATTTTTCAAAAGGATTGTCCATAAAGAAACAATTTATTGTTTGTACAAGACGGCACAATCATTTTTGTCTTTTAAATCTCAAAATGGATGGTTGTAAGAGCGTCATTGATGAGACACAATTGTAAAATAAACTTTCTCGAATTTCGTTACTCACCCCAAACCATCCAACTTTCTCGAACTTCATTATTCACCCCAAACATTCCAATTTGACATCTAATGAGCGAGGATAGTTGTAAAATCCTTATACAAAAAGTAAAAGGTCTCTTTGTAAACAAATCTTTTTCAAATAGCTCAATAAGAAATAATGGCCCTCCATAGCATGTCAAAATCACCAATATTCAGCTATGCCGGGCAATTTTTTGCTTTACAAGGTGCACCACTACTTGCCGGGTGACTATGAGAGCGCCCCCAAACCCCCTAACCTGAGAATCAAAATAGTGAATAACAAGTGTAAAGGAGCCTAACTCTTGCTTTATATATACAACATCGGTATCATAGTTTTTACTGGTTTATTATGCCTTGAAAGACTAAAGATAATGATATCAACAACCAAAAGCCGGTCAATACAAAATACAACGCCCGTCAATACAAAATACATAAAAAGGAGGCCACAAAAAGAAAAAAAAGGAGAGAAGAAAGAAAGAAAATCACTAGGGTAATGCAAAATTTCTTCTCATTAAATACAAAGAGCTTTTCATCCAAGCCTCACAACCATACCTCACAGAAAACAAACAACAAAGCCAATATGCTACATAAATATACAGAGAGAGAAAGAATACAACTAAAAATGGGCAATGATAACATACAAGGAATTCAATCTTCACATTCTAACGAGGACCCGACAATTCCATAGCCTCCACAACTAGAGAAGACTCCTCTATGAGATCTGAGTATTTTCTTGGAAAAAATTCTGAGCCTCGAAACCTTGGGGTCTCCACCTTTTGCTGAGAAGCCTCCCATTTCTCAGCGAGGCCATCCCCCTCTAACATGCGCACTACCTCTGACATCTTTGGGCGGCAAGCAGGGTGGAACTGTGTGCATAGGAGGGCCACACGCACCATCTCTTCAAGTTCTACCCGGTCAAAGTTGTTCTTGAGGTCCTTGTCAACCATCAGGTTCAGCTTTTTTTCTTGGTGGAGCTTCTTGACCTACAAAATTATAAATGGTGAAATAATTTGCACAATGTACTGAGAGAAAAATTTTCTAGTCAGTGTGGGTATGTCTTAAAGGCTGTGACTGTGAAGCATAATCCTCCATCATATGGGATATGCTGTCCAACAAAAGATTTTACATGATGACTATGAAACATGAACATGCGTGTAAATATGTTTTTGTTTCAGTAAGCCAAAGACGCAACTAAACTTCAGATATATAAAAACTTCTTGAGCTTATCGAAACTGTAACTTAACTTAATATCACATAAAATCCCAACTCTTTATTTCTTTAAAGGAAAAAGTTTATATAGAACCAAGGCTCTAAACAATCAAATTAAATCGCACCTCAAAAATTTCACTAGAAGAGGGTTGTTTTGATGCCCAAATATCCTCAAATTGATCATCTCGACATCAAGATGTATGGACATGAGAAAAAAAAAATTTCAAGTTTTGGAAATAGTGCATCTTATAATGCATTTTTCGACCGTCAATTTCAAGATTTTTAAGTTTTCATAGATCTGCTCAATCCACACTATTTTTGAAACTTTAAATTTTATAATTAGAGATGAAAATATATTGTAAGGCTATCATAAAGATTTCCACTATTGAAACCACATTTCTATACACTATTTGAAGATGCGCTCTACTTTAATTGTTTAGAGCCTCCACTCTATACAAACCGCACCCTTCTTTAAATAGTGTAGAAACATATGTTTGAAAAATAAGCTTTACAGTTGGTGTTCTTGACACATCCATGTCAAACATTCACACATGATTCTGTCTTTGTAACCTAGCATGATGATGACACTCAACTACAATCTTACCTGGTCATTACGATATTATTACAATCTCCATCAAGGCAAAGAACAAGAAAATGTTTACCATATTCTCTCAAGGACCATGAGAAAACCATATGAGTTCCTTGGGTCATCACCATTTTACAAAACCATACGAGTTCCTTGGGTCATCACCATTTTACAAGGGATGGAACAGTCATGGAGAGTGGGAAAAACTAGAGGGAACCACCGAACATGGTTTGCCACCAGGTGGGAGGTCCCACTCTATCCACCCCTATTCATTCCAGAATTCTGTCTCTTATGGTTAAGTATAGACAACGGGTAAGCCAAAGTCCTGAAAATCGGTACCATCTATGGAGATTTGACATTGATGGAGAGGGAAAGGGGCTTACCATGGGGATCTGTCCCATTAAGATTCATCCACTCTATTTCCACCACCAACCATTTTAATGGATGGCAATGGAGAGGAAAAGCACTCACCTTTAGGATCATTTGTGCATTATGTCTCTCCCCATCACCATCCATCATTAATTCACGTTCATTAATTGATGGACCAAAGGTCATACATCAACAGGTTTATAGTATGGACATGGTTTTGATGAGTCCACTAACTCATATGTAAATATGAGTCCCCTCTTCATGATCTGCTTTTGAGATGGATTTTAGACCTAATTGTTTGGATATATATAATTCCTAACATGAGATAATTAACAAGTACTTAAATTTTAAAACTAGAAATGATAATGTTTTGAAAACGATTTTAGACCCTTCGATTTTTTTTTTTTTTTTTTTGAGAAACCACCACTTTACATCATTTTTAAGATGGATGTTTAATGCGTTGGGGGAAATGTAGGATTGTGTCCCTTGGGGGAAATGTAGGATTGTGTCCCTGGGCGCATAACACACAAATTCCGTACACTATTACTGATGACTTCTTTTTTTATTCCTTCTAAATTAATTTTCATAAAATATATGAATATTATTTTTCAAAGGAAAATGGTAGAAGAGAAAACTCAAGTATGTTGAGGCTAAACCCAAGCATGGAACCAAAAGGCAATTGTAGAGTGAGGCAGGGAGGGACGTAGAGAGAGTTACCCAGTCAAGCATCACGCCTTTCTGATTGGCCAGTCGCCCAAAATCAACAGCCTTCTGCCCAGTGATCAATTCGAGAAGCAAAATCCCAAATCCAAAAACATCGGTCTTCTCAGAGGATTGCCCGGTGGAGAGGTACTCGGGTGCAATATGCCCAACAGTGCCCCTCACAGCAGTGGTCACATGAGAATCATGGTGGTCCAGAAGCTTTGCAAGGCCAAAATCTCCCACCACAGCCTCAAAATCCTCATCTAATAGGATGTTGGCAGCCTTGACATCTCGGTGGATAATCTTTGGGTCACACTGCTCGTGCAAGTAGAGGAGCCCCCGAGCAGTTCCTAGAGCGATGCGCTTCCTCGTTGCCCAATCAAGCGCAGGTTTGCTGTGGATGTGATCTACTTTGAGAGAGAGAAAGATGGTTACTGATAGATGTAGAAAATGGCCAGCTCACCCGAACTTATGAAATGTAGTAACAATGAAATGAAACATTCTGTGAAAATTACAAAACTGAGAACAAACTTTCTTGAAGTCCCGCTTTTGCTCACAATCTTCTCTCTAAATATCTTTGCACTAAAACATAAAAAAAGTGGAACGGAAAGATAACATCTCTACTATGAAACAAGCAATATAAAGCAATCATATCATAGGACAGCAGCCATCGCCTGCAGCAAAAGGAACAACCAATAGTCCCACACCCTACACCTACAGCTGTTCCAATAGCTCATGGTTATATGATATACAATGTCTATAGAAAGATCTCCATAATTCTGTTGAGACATGCGGACCAGTCACAGAGGGGGGGGGGGGAGAGAGAGAGAGAGAGAGAGAGAGAGCGAGAGAGAGAGAGAG